TCAGAATATAGAGTACCAAGCAAAAGAAAGCCTTTCACACGCTCTTTTTCGGTTTCCATTTCATTTCATACCCATCTACTTGCCTAGGGATATATCCTATCCTATCTCATTCAATCCTACCCTACTGTGTATATCTCTTCTATTGTGCAAAATATCTAATTACTAGGTACCTACCTACCTAGTTTCCTTATCTTTCCTTACCTTTTCTTACCTTTTCTTACCTTTCTCTACCTGCCCTTTGGTTCCCTTGGCCGACCTTAGCTTCCTTATCATTTCTGGTCTCTACTTACATTTATTACATTGTAGTCTGTCTACATGTAATAAATCGTACACTTAAATTGTCCATCTACATCGTATACAATCCCCCATCACCAAAACAGAATCAAGTAAACTGATTAAAAACGACAACGACAACGACAACTACATCTTATTCTTCATGTGAGTGAGTGCCTACTCCGTACATACTCAATTAATTAATTATACACTCCCCTCTCTTCCACAATGTCCCTAAACTCCCTTCAGCCTAACAAGCCCCAAACTTTACCAACAACTTTTGTGCAGTTAATCCACCCCATCCAACCCCCATCCACTCAATCCCCCAATCCATCCATCCATCCACCCACACCCACCCACCGCCTTCGCCGCCTGCGACCAAAGACCCAATTCACCCCAAACCTTACTCACCACTCACTTAACCACTCACCTCTCACCTCTCACCTCTCACCTCTCACCACCCAAAACCCTTCTTTCCTAATCTCATCCATTCACAATCCCTCCCAACCCAAACCACCAACCCATCCTATAAAAAAATTATTCAAAGAGAAAATATCATCTTTTGGGGACAATATCATTGGGGATTGCATTGAATGTCCCCTTTTGTGGCAGTAGCAAAATACTCTTCTGCAACTGGGCTTAATACAATAAAAATCCCATCCGCCGACAGTCATCGCGTTCATTTCCCATCCTCCCTCCCCCCTCCCCCCCCCTCCCCGAAAAAAGCATCTCTCTCTCTCTCTCTCGACCTTAATTTTGTTGATCTTCAATCCTACTTCCTGGTAAAAAGGCAACAATTCATTTAGCCTATCAATTTTACTTTGACTTTCAATTCCGATCATCGAATTCCAACGGCCTATTTCTACATCTTTCAATTTCTTGAGCTCAATCGAGAGCTCCTAATACAATTACGATGGCTTCATCATCGTCTAATGTCGTCGGCGTGCATTATCGCGTAGGGAAGAAAATCGGAGAGGGTTCTTTCGGTGTCATCTTTGAGGGAACAAACTTACTCAATAATCAACAAGTGGCTATCAAATTCGTACGTTCTTTCTCATCGTCGTCGCCATCAATTTTCATTCTTTCATCTGCAAAGATGCATTGATCGACATAAAAGGGGGAAAGGTGCTTCGGATGGGCTTTGTTTACTGACAATATTTATCGTGAATCAGGAGCCTCGAAAGAGTGACGCTCCACAATTGCGAGATGAATATCGAACTTATAAGATTCTTGTTGGCTGCCGTGAGTACATCAATCACGATATTCTGGACGTCGAGATACTAATTCAATGTAGCTGGCATTCCTAATGTTTATTACTTTGGTCAAGAAGGCCTTCACAACATCCTTGTCATCGATCTCCTTGGTCCATCGTTGGAAGATTTATTCGATCACTGCAATAGAAGATTCTCAACTAAGACTGTGGTTATGGTAGCAAAGCAAATGGTTCGTCTTCTTCCTCCAAACTGTAACGGCTGAGTAACATCGCATGTACTAATTCCAAAATTAGCTTTCAAGGGTACAAACAATTCACGAGAAGAACTTGATCTATCGAGACATCAAACCCGACAACTTTTTGATTGGCCGACCAAATACGAAAGCCGCAAATGTTATCCACGTTGTCGACTTCGGAATGGCCAAACAATACCGGGATCCTAAGACCAAGCAACACATTCCATACCGCGAGCGAAAGTCACTGTCGGGTACTGCAAGATACATGAGTATCAACACACATTTGGGAAGGGAACAGTCAAGACGAGACGATTTGGAAGCTTTGGGTCATGTTTTCATGTATTTCTTACGAGGTGGTTTACCATGGCAAGGATTGAAGGCTGCCACCAACAAGCAAAAGTACGAGAAGATTGGTGAGAAGAAGCAAACGACCGCGATCAAGGATCTTTGTGATGGTTTCCCAGAGGAGTTCAACCAATACTTGAGCTATGTGAGGAACTTGGGTTTCGAGGACACGCCAGATTACGATTACTTGCGGGACCTCTTCACTCAAGCTTTGAAGAACAGTGGTGAAGTTGAAGATGGAGAGTACGATTGGATGAAGTTGAACAATGGCAAGGGATGGGAAGCTATGAAGCAACATCCATCTCAACACATGCTACATCAACCAAATGCTGTCCCAGGGGCCTCGCAAAGAGAACTACATGGAACAACTCGTGGAGGGAATACAACACCAGGTCACCTCACTGCCGCCCGTTTAAACGCCGCACAACCCCCGCCGCCATCTCCGATAAAACCCGGGATGGGAAAGTCTCGCGACCGGCAAAACGCCCCAGGTGCGTTAGCCCCGAAACGCAACAGCGGAGCGCCGGGGGGCCTTCAGGATGCATCTACACCAGCAGGCTCAACTCAAGCCCAATTCCAGAACAGCTCAAACAATCTACCTCAAAGGATGAGCGCAGCCCAACAATCACCACTGAACACCAACGGGAGAGGACCATCAGAACAGCCGCAACCAACGGCAATGCAAAAGATCATGAAAGCTCTGTGCTGCGGTTAGTAAAAATCTGTATTTACCAACAAGTCATACATGCTAACATGTAATTAGGTTGAGCACCTGTCCATAATTCATTTTTCATTTCCAAGAACTTTTTACGCCTCGACTCTTTCACTTTCCATGCCGTCTTCATATTGAATGTCGGTTATAATGAACACCTCAATTTACAAATCGTTTCAAATAAGATCATGTACCGGAGTTGCATCAGTTTGACCGCCAAGTCGTTTCTTAAAAAGCCTCGTCTTTGCTTTTGTGGTTACATACACCATTTCCACGACTTTGAAGCTGGGTTTGAAACACGAAACTACATCATAAACAAAATACCTTCGGTTGGCATTTGGAATTTGGCATCTGGCATTTGGGACTTCTTCAGCGAAGCACTTCAAGACTAATAATTGTTTTTCTTACATTTTCCCTCTCCGTCTCACCCTCTATCTCACTCTCCCATCCAAAACATCATTCTTTGGCCTCACATTTCTCCACTTTTCTCGTCGAATCATATCATGGCTCTCCTACGAACCAAGAAACGCTGGTCTTTAATTCAATATTCTCAAGGAAAAGAAGTTTGGAATGGGTAGCGTGGGACACTTTTTACGATGTATAGCTTTTTGACCCGTTCTCTTTTTTTTTCATCATACTTCTTTGGAGCGAGCGGAGTGTTACGTCTTTTTTTTTTTTCCAGTGACACTGCAGCAATGGCGAATTAGGAGTGTGGTGTGTATTCGTTTTTTCCTGCTTGTTTGCGTGTTGTGGTGAAGGGGTTGCTACATTAGATGCATATGAGGAAGTTGATGGGGTGAATGGAGAGATGTGATGGGAGGAGATTCCTTTTTTTGTATGTTCTGATGGATGGGATGGATGGGCTGCATGTCATATCACTCTTTTCATCTTACTTCAGTAGCAACGAATGAGAGAAGAATGTGTATGTGGAAAGAAAAGTAATGGAGTCTGTCTTTTTTCTCTCTTCTTTTTTTTCTTCTGAACCGTGCGAAATAAAAGGGGTGGATTCTCATATCAGCATCAGGCAAATCAATCAATCAATCAATCAATCAATCAAATCAAATGACAATCAAAGCAGAGAGATGGGTCAACAGAGTAGACGGAGCAGGCGGAGCAGAAATGATAGTTTAATGGAAGTTGTTGATAATGGGATCATGGATCTTTTTGGTGTGTAGATTTTAGTTTTGTAGATGAAAGTGTGAATGTAATGTAATGTTGTATGTTTGTTGTATGTATGCTATGATGCTTTGATGCTTTGATGCTTCAAGAGCTTTAAGAGAGTATAGGTAGGTACCTAGGTACTAAGTAGGTATTGTGTGGTGTTGTACCATATCATTCCTTCCTTCATCTGTTTGTTCGTCCGCGTCTTCGTCTGTTCAGTTGACATTGTCTACACAGGGATTCTTCGATTTCGAGGTCTGGTATGATGTGATGGGTATCATAGATGCAAGAGGGGTCTACTCATAGGCTGGCACGATAGGTTATGTTTGTATGTATGGTCGGTATGTATGGTATGTATTTAATTTTCGGTAATACTAGACTATGTCGTTATCTACCTACCTACACTCGAGTAGTAGTTAAGTTGGCGAGGAGTAACTTTAGTTATTACTCACTTGGTGTTTTCCTCGCTAGCTAGATAGCTAGATAGGTAGATGGATGGATGGATGGATGGATGGATGGATGGGTATAGTAGGTATAGTAGGTATATAATAGATAGATGATAAAGAATAGCTAGCTAGCTAGCTGCATGTGCTACCGATGTATGATGATTGTGATGTAGAATTTGGGTATCTAGGTGCTAGAGTTGTAGTTGTGAGGGGGAAGGCTTTTTTGAGGATTTTATTTTAGGTTTGGGGGTTTGAAGGTTCATGGTTTCGGAGGATCAAAGCTGGAGGGAGAATAGAGGGGAGAAGAAAGAAGGAAGGTGTTGTGTAATTCTTTGATTGTATAGCATCGCAATGCAGTGCATCTCTCATCTCATCTCATTTAGGGTCGATTCAACCAACTACACTAACATACATAGACGTAGGTACATAATGAGAGTAAATCATAAGTCTCTTTTTCATTATTCCATTCTTCCCCCTCCATTCTCCATTCTTCCCCTTCATTTTCCCCTCTTCGTTTCTCGCTTTTTCTCTCTCTCGATATTCTCTCCTCCTCTCCTCATCTATCCCACAAATGATAACTGACGAACCGAAACATAACCACAGAAAGAAAACATCTAAGTCAATTTCTGCTTGATGAAGAAGGATCGCAAATGCGAAAGTTGCCATGCGCACGTAATTCCCAAGACGACCAGTTGGATGAGTGTCCAGCGGACGACGCGCGCGTTGGTGGATTCGGATTGATCGCGGAATTCGGCTTCACGTTCCTAAAGGGGGGGAGGGGGGTTAGTTTAGGGGTTTGAGGGTTTGAGGGTTTGAGAATTGGGGGTCGGAGGTTGGGACTTGAAATTGGGAGAGGGGAAGGGGAGATTGGGAATACATGATGAAAAGGGGAAGGGAATGGTAGATAATGTATCAAGGGCAAATAAACATCAGCACTTACCCGTTGGAAAACCTGTTCCCTTCTAATATCCTGCAGTCTGCCATTCAAATCCTTAACCTTTTGCACAATATCATTGATTTTTCCCTTATCGTCACTTTCAATCTGACTCGTCTCTCCAATTGCCATATCAAGAGTCAATTTGATACCGCCGTTTGAATGTAATGCGCTGAGCCAATTGCTAGAACCGGATGTGGAGGAGGGAGTAAAGCAGATCTTGTGGTCGCCAGAATCGGCGGCTGTGAAAGTGAAACGACCAGAAGATGAACCGGTTTGGAAAATTACTCGGTGGTCGTTGTCGAAGACTTCCTAAAGGGGAGAGTTCAGTAGGTTGTTCGTATACTTAGGTGTGATGGGTAGATATAGAGTATAGATGAGACTTAGGCAAAGAGGGAAAGAAGTCTATACATACATCTACGGAAATAAAAATGTTTAATCCGTCATGTTTGCTCCATTGTCTTGTATTTTCGTCGTATTCCTCAGCGGTATAATGGCCTACTACCAACGTGTCTTTGGGTAATTCCTCGAAGAAACATTTAGGTGCTGAGCCGTCGATATAAAAGTAGAGGGATTGGACTGGGGCAAGGAGGACGGAGAGAGCGGCCCCAATGAGGGGAAGAGATGTGCGCATTTTCGATCACCGGGAGTTTGTATGCGTATTGTGAGGGTTGAAGTAGTGAGCTTGCGAGGTTGATACGATTGAGCTTTGTTCAAGGCTTATATTCAAATGGATTGATAGAACACGTTCGCGACTTCTTGGACAGGGATATGTGGATTCACGTGCTGATAAGTTAGCGGTTGATAGCGGCTTGATATTTCGCGATCGCTATATTTCGTAGAAACATTCAACTATCTTTCGACAATCAATTCATCTTTTTCCCTTCTAATGATTCATCAACAGACACGTTACTTTTGTATCTTCTTAGAGTGTCATTTTATCTTACGACACGATTCTACAGAAATGATAAGATAGAAATTCTACTCGCGCATCACAAAACTACGTACTTAATTCAAAATGACATCCCACGATGTTCGTGATATGCTGGATCTCCCCTCCAGCTCCTCGGCCCCTCGACCGAAAAAAGTAAAAACAATTGTCCAGAAACCGAAATTGGGGGGCTTGGCAAGAGAAGTGCAAAATCTGGGAGGAGATAATCCTATTGCGATTGTACCGGAAGAAGCAGTCTTCAAGAAGAAGAGATTTGGAAGTCGAAAACCGGCGACGAAATGGGAAGCGAGGAGTTTTAGGAATAGTGCGAGGAATGGGGATGGTTTGGTGCTAAAGCATTGGAGGAAGGTTGAGGGGAGGGAGAAGGAAAAGCAGAGGGAGAAGGATGCGGAGGGGGATACGGAAATGGGGGAGGATGGGGAAAAGGGAAAGGGAAGAGAAGAGGAGATAATTGAGGACTCGGCTTTTGCAAAATATAATGTGAAGGTGCAGGTACCGACTTACACCAACGAACAATATAAGGAAATCCTGGAAAGTGAGAATTGGTCGAGAGAAGAAACGGATTATTTGATGAAGACGGTTCAGGAATATGATTTACGATGGCCGGTTATATGGGATCGATACGAATATGTACCTCAAGACATCCCGGAAGACATCATGGAAGGAGCGATAGCTAGACGAGACAGGACTATGGAAGACTTGAAAGTAAGATATTATACAATAGGTGCGGCTATGATGGCATTAAATAAACCTTTACATCAAATGAATACTGCGGAATTCGATTTACATCAAAAGATGTTGAATTTCGATCCTGTACAAGAGACACGGAGGAAAGATTTCCTGGAAGGCGTTTTCACACGTACAAAGGAAGAAGCTCGAGAAGAAGAAAGTCTTATGGTAGAACTCAAACGTATTTTGGCTCGCTCGGAGAAATTCATGGAGGAACGAAGAGAACTTTACGCCAGACTCGATGCTCCTGCAAGTAGTTCTAATATTAGTGCTTTCATCACTAGTCAAGGTCTACATCAACTCTGTCAGCAACTCCTCACCCAGGACAAGAGTAAGAAGAGAAAACCTATTCAGGAAGGTCAGACTCCTGGTGGGGCTACTCCTGTTAGTAGTAATACGCCAGGTGGATATGATGCAAGACGAGATTCTAATGTTCGAGAATCCATTTCAGCACCATCCGGTAACGCTGGTAGTGCTTCAGCAGTGGGTAATAAAAAGGGAAGCATATCCTCTATTCAAACACCATCAGATCGCCGGAGACTCACAGAAGAAGAAGAAAAGGTTTATGGTGTTTCACATCATGATCGTTTACAAGGCGGCCCATATTTCCGTGGTGAAAAACTTATCAGACCGCTTACATCGAAGAGTGCCATTCAACAAGGTCGTATCAAAAATATGTTGGTAGAATTGGGGATTCCTGAGAAACCAATTATGGGCACTGCAGATGTCGCTCATGGTTATGATGAATTGTTCAAGAGTATTGGGATTTTGTTGGATAGTAAGAAGGTGGCTGAGAAGTTGCAAACTGAAATTGATGTGTTGAAGGCGCAGTTGGAGGAAAAGAAGAGGAGAAGAAGAATGAGTGGGCTATCGGCTGCTGGAGGATCAGATGGTGCTGGAGAGGAGAAGGAAGAGACGAAGAACAAAAATGATGGGAATGGAGAAGGTGGAAGTGAAGAATCAGGAGCGGCAGCCGTAGTGCAGAGCACAGAGAGTGGAGAGAATGGAGCGGAAAATGAACAAAGTGTTGATGGCGCGCAGGGGAATGGTGATAACAATGGTACTGAGAACGTAGATGCGATTACGGCGGCTGCGCCTAAAAGAAGCGCGAGCGTGATGAGTACGGGGACTGATAAGAGTTCGAAGAGGCAGAAGAAATAAGGTGTAGTTGTAGAAAAGGTATGAAAAGCTTTATAGGGCTTAGGTGGCTACTTTGGTGGAAAAGGAGAGCAGGGGAAGAGAAAGGGAAGACGCTTCGCTTCTCACTTGTATAGATTAGTGTGATAGTATTTTTCGCTAGGAAATCATAAATGTTATGGTATGCTCAAGTGCGTTTTACCTCTTGTGCGTTGAGTTGGGGTGAGTTGAGTCGAGGTGAAGTGAGATACGAAGGTTCAAGTCTGAACTGCGTATATACGACAACAATCTATCATTCTTTTCGAGCTTTTCCCATACTTTCCTCTTATTTTCATTCCTTTCGGTTTTGAAGGCCATACATAATACTGGAAGTCGGAGAGCATGACTACCTAGGTGTACTATATAAATTCTTTGGATAAGTATCAGTAGCGGTACATTCAGAGTCTGGCTTTACTATCATTTTATTTGTACTTTTTACCTTGTGTATCTTTACTTATCCCTATCCTTATCTCTATTCCTGTATCATGTTTTAAATTTTAAGGTGTGAGGTTGCTCAGTTGCTTAATTTCTTATTTGCGAAGTTATCCACTTGCTCACTTGCTCACTTGCTCACTTGCGAAGTCACTTCACTCAGTGAAGTGAAGTGAGGGAGGGTATGGAATGGACGATGGTGAAGATGAGATTATGTATAGTAGTTCAACATTCAACGTAGTAATGACTCGATGAATTGAAGATGTTGGGGTTTAATACTCAAAGTAGTGAAGACTCAGATTAGTGAAGACGTGAGGGTGTGAGGCAACAAGGGTGATTAGTGACTACCTAGGTAGATCAAGGTTTTGTGTGATTGTTTTGATTATTTGGAGAATGGATTGGATGCGTTGGGCTGTGTTTTGCTATTTGTTGAGTTTGGGGATGGGGATGGGGATGGGGATGCGAGTTGGGATACGTATAAATGAACTTTCAGCTAGTCGGAATTCCAAAAGGAAGGGGTGGGAGGCTATAGGTCAGGGTGTAAAAAGCAGATGTTGGAAAGGATGGGAATAGAGAAATAGAGGAATGGGGTATAGGGTATAGGGGGGGGACAGCTATCAGGAAAAATATTAGGAAAGATGATATAAGGGTTAGAATGGAAAGGATGAGAATGGTAAGAAGGATAATAGATGTTGAAAGATGGAGTGGAGAAATTGAATGGAGAAGTTGGAAATGGTTGTAGGAGATTTGCTGTTTTATGCGATGGGTCTGGAGTTGGGATGGTGTATTATGTATGGAGAATGGAGGAGAGAGGGGAGAGGAGACCGGGGATTATGGTGGAGAGTTTTAGGAGGAGTTGAGAGATATAAAGCGAGGGAGTCTGGTGTTCTGAGGGGGGGAGCGGTGTTGGATCTGCTGAGGATTGTGTTGACGGGACTTATAGTGTGTGTAGTGAGGTAGACATCTAGCTGAATGAGCTTATTGAATTATGTGATTGGTGCTAAGGAAGATATGTTGTAGATTTTGGAAGGTATACTTCCCAAGTAGAGGGTTGAATTTAGCATGAAAGAGAAGATAAGCGAGTATACACTGCGCCCGCCATCATGGCGATGGAATTGTAAGAATCAAAATGTATATCGCCATATCAAGACTCTCCGAAATCATTACAAAGAAAATTCCAATAGCGTCTTGTGCTTCCAGTTAGATCTTTTATTGACATGTCGCTGGAATTTTATGGCGAACGTCGTATCTCGAGATTTGAATTCCAGTAAAAATCAACAGATCTTGTTTTCTTTCTGGCATATTGAATGTACCACGAACTACAAACTTAGAATCTAGCTTTATGTGCAGGATCAATCGCTGCTGCTCTCTACGAATAGCTCCGCAACAACTGTTCGAGCCGAAGCGAGATAGAAGTTGAAAGAAGCGGGAATTGAGGGAATTTGAATTCATGGAGAGCAGAGATATTAGATTAAAAGGTGAGGGAGGGGTTAGATGGAGTTTACCAAGACGTATTCAGTTGTCTTTAAAAGAAGAGCAGGGGGAACTCTTAAAGAATGAGTAGGAGGGTAGGTAACAAGATGGGGGACAATTCATTGTTATGTCTATAAGTCATGTAGTTCTCTCTAGCAACCTCAAGATTCGAGTCCAGTTTCAATATATTGATAATTAGGCAATTTCAACGGTAAATTAGTATCGTCGATTCAGTAGCAATAAAGTCACTGTTTCTGGAGGCTATTTCGATATTTTGTGACTCTCGGTTCAAGACTCAACACCCAAATGACGTTCGAGGTTCAACCTCAATCCTGATGCTACAGTATTCGTGTATCAATTGATGGAGGATACGAGGGAAAGGGGGAGTATTTACCTCTGCGTAGGAGAAATCTCAGCAACGTGTCCGATTGTTTATATAGGAAAGAGTGACTACATGCAGGGCTCGGAATGTTGTTTGACCGAATGTCGTTTCAATCAACCAATCAATTGTCGACCTCAATCGGCTGAAAGACGGAACAAAGCAAAGAAAAGAATGTATCATCGATATCCTTCCTTATCAACCATTCTCTCGAAGCGAACCACATCACGAAGCCCGGTTCCAAATCTTCAGATTAGACTTGTCTGGTCTCAAGTATATATTCTTCTTCTTCATTGACGGGATCGAATTTAGACGTGACTCTTGCGAAAGAAGGGACATTAACGTCATGCCATGCTAACACCTTTGTTTACCACCACAACAAAGCAAATCACTGCCATCAAATTGGCCAAGAATTAGGCAACAAATCACGTTAAAGGATTTCTGCTCTCCTCCTTCTCATAAAATGTCTCTACCACGGATTCTCCTAACCCTCATCGTGAAAACAATCCGTTTCCTCGCCAATACCTTCGCGCCCATCATCCTCCGCTACATTTATCGTACACCTCCCCACCCTGCGACCTACACCCTCCGTATCCACACTACACTTCTCCCCGCCTCTCCTGGAACTCTCAATCTCCACATATACCAACCCCACGGCCACCAAATCTCAAAAACTGATCCCCTGCCATGTATTCTCAATTTTCACGGCGGAGGTTTCGTGATCGGAAATCCAATAGATGATTCACTTTGGTGTCATACCGTCTCAACACTGCAAAATTGCATTGTGATATCTGCATCTTATCGACTGGCTCCTGAATATCCCTTTCCTACAGGACCTTATGATGCTTGCGATGCTCTTCTTTATGTATTCTCTCATGCTGAAGAATTGGGCATTGATGTCGAAAACATTGTGTTGAGTGGATTTAGTGCGGGAGGAAGTCTGTGCTTCGGTGTTCCTTTATTGTTGGAGGATTTGAAGGACCGAGGGGTCGTGAAAGATCGAAACTGGAATGTCAAGGGTATAATGGCATGGTATCCAGGATTCGATAGTACGATATCTCGTTCTGAAAAGAAAATGATGATGAAGGATCCAAGTCTTTCATTGCCATCTTGGCTCACGAGTATTTTCGATCAGTCGTATAAACCTGAGTATTTGAATATTGATCGCAGGCATAAGCTACTTTCTGCGGGAATTCAAAGCCAAGAGGTGTTGAAGAAAGGACTGCCGAGAAAAATGAGAATTGTAACTTGTGAACATGATATGCTGTGTAGGGAAGCGGAGGACTTTGTAGAGAGATTGAAGGGCTGGGGTTGGGAAGTCGATTTGGAGTGTGTAATGGGTGTGAGGCATGGATGGGATAAGTTTCCGCGTGCGAAGCCTGACCCGAGGGAGTTTTATGGAAGGGCTGGGGAGTGGCTCAGGAAGGAAGTTTGGGGTGGGGATGAGGAGAGTGGTTTCTGAATAATCGTGGCGGTGGGTAAAGAAGACGATGAGTTTGTCAAATGGTTTCATCTGGCAAATCTCAAATATACATGTGGCTTAACCTAGATATCAATCGCGAATCCTGGAAGCTGTTTTGTGTGCAACTGGTTTCATGTGGCCCCGTATACTTGAAGGTTAGGTTCACCATTTAGCTGTGACTTCGATATGAGATACAGCTGTATTTAGAATCTATCAAATAGTTAGTGAGGGTCTTCACTCAGTGGTTACCTTAGCTACACATGGAAGCATGCTAGACTATTCTAGCTAATCACTACTCGTAGAGATCACAAACAACGAACTTAGCCAAGAAATACCTGATATGACCTCAATATTACATCATGTTCTAGAAGCACATATAAGAGATTATGTATTCGAAAGAGCATACTTTGTCTGAAAAGAGAATCTAAACACTGAACGAGAGGGGAAAGTGAAGTGGCTGGAATGTTGAAATGGTGCTACCCCTAATTTTAATACAAGGTGTGCTTTGGGGAGGAGCTAGCGGAGACGAAGCAAAGTGTTTGGACAGGCTATAGGGAATTGATCAAATATCGGGGGATATTCTATTGATACTGCTTCATCGACCGACGTAGCGGCAGCTTGCATGAACCTCACACGGCACATGCATACTTGTGCACATGGAGTGAAGATCCCAATTTTGCGAATGGATAGAATCCTCTGTTGCCTGAAACTACTATATCAGTACGAAATACTGTGAATAGTAGTGAAAGAGTTTCGGAGCATGATCCACAACCATCTCTCATTTCTCAACAATCTGACTGAATTCCAAAATAACATGAAAATATCGTAGTTTACGTAAACTGACCATACATTACAATGATTTTGATTGATTATAAACCCAATTATATAATTAGATATCATACAATTGAAAGTTATGTGGTTAAGACTATATACTTGCAAGAAGGGAAAAGGGGGTTTGCAGAGTGTACTCTCTCACCCTCCAGCTTGCTTAGATACCTTCGCTAATTTGTTTCAGGCTCTGTGTGTAATGCACACGCAATATTGCAGATGGCTGGCATTAGAAACTCTTCAAATGTTCCGCAATTGAGTAGTTCTACACATAGCCTCGCCTCCCTTTCCTCAATTATATCTCACTTCCAGCAAGATGCAGTGGAAAAGAGAAACTATATCACGTGATATGGCGCATGGACACTTTCGTCAGTGAGCCTGCAAATTTGACAACTATGATACTTCATCCCTTCTAGTACTTCGATGATCGCATAACACTTGAAATGTATCTTAAAACTCCTCAGTTGCGCATGCAGGATCATACTTCACGGCAGGAATATAATATTATGGCGATGGATGATGCCTCGATTCGCGATTGATGGAAAGAACAAGATTTGATGAATCTTTTTCTGATGCGTACTCTTACCGGGAGAATGCAATGTAACATTGAAAGGATGGTATGATCAAAACGATCAATACTAAGCCTCCGATCCTCAGCTGCTTCGATCAAGTATTGTTTGAGGGTTTGTTATGCCTGGATTGTTTTTTATCTCCAGCCACGTAATCGGTGAGCTGACAAGGTCAATAGCCTTGATATCTTTTCCCAAGCCTTGGATTCTATTGGCATACAACTCAGTAGAATGATGGCAAGATGTCCACCACTTGAAGCATAGAGCCTTGGTCGAGTGTAATTCTACCGCACGACGGGAACTTGCTTCCAGGGTGACAGGATATTACTGGTTCTTAAAGTGTTTCGCAGAGAAACCGAACAGCGAAATCCGAATCTCTTGATCGAAAACGATTCTAGCCAGGTCGATAGTAGGCTGCTCCCACACCGGGTGTCTGATTCCAATTTATTCAGGGGCGAGATATACCAGGGAACTGGGTCAGGGTTTAACGAACCGTAGCGCAAGCCAGCGCCATGTTCTCAAGTTGACCAGTACTGTTTCTGCATCCATATGTTCACGTGAATAATTAGCCTTCCCCAAAAGGGGTTTGTAGAACCCAAAAGGTGGTTAACTAGCAGATCCGTGTTTATGCACTATCAGGCTGCTCTCTGTAGGTATTGTATTTTATCATGTAGCCGGCCATCTGGGCTCGAATCCTACATGCATCGCATAGCAAATCCAAACCGTCTTTTGAAGAAAGCGAGGATTAGAAATGGCAGTTTTGATGGCATCCTTAATTTTGTTCTCTTTAGTTTCAACTTCTCATTTCTATTCGATCTACAATCCTTTCACAAACTACAATGGCCGCGTTGACGTATGAATTCCACAATTACCAAGGTAAAATAGCAATGTCTCAGCTTATATCTCGAGAACATGCTAATGAGAACGTCATGTTAAAGTACGAACTGCAAGAGGAGAGTCCGAGCCAGCTGCAATCGCAGGACAATTGTCGATAACTTCGATTGACCTTGGTGACGAAATATTGAAAGTCCTGAAAAGCAACGCCATTGGATTGTCTCCAGAAGGAAATTACCTTCCAGACGATGAATATGATAGACTATTGAGGAAAGACAGAATAGAAGCTGCCCTTGGTGGTGGCCGCGAGGATTTTCCCCTAGTCGAATACATTGTTAGCCGCGCGAAAAAGACATTTGCGACGTTGCTGCAGGTATTTTCTAATTCTGAAGATCGTCGCGATGTCATGGCCTCCCTAACGGAAAAAGAATTCAACGACACGCTCTTAGAATCATACGAACTTGGCACGTCATACTTTCAACATAGGTTGTGTAACGAGAGAACAACTGACGATTTCAAAAACAAACGGCTGTCATTTATTCTCCCCAATTTTGATATCAATGTTTTTCAAGTATGAATTCGATAAAAAGCGAATTCTTCCGTTTATGTTTTTGACAAAGCGAATACTCCTCCAAGAAGCGGCCACTTCAGCGGAGTCGAATGTGTGAAAATGCTAGCTAGTAAGCAGAATAATATCAACGTACCTGAAAAGACGGTGATAGTCGCTTTTGAAGAAGCTGAAAAAAATTAGCGACCCTGGCTATAACATTCAAAAGGAATGGGAGCGTGAGGCAAGAGCTCACCAACAGCTAAATTGTTTAATTAAAAATATCATTCAAGCTTTTGCCGCCTACCGTCAAATTGCGACAAACAGACGGCTCGATGAATACTATCTTGTACATAAATGGGCCAATGGTGGAAGCCTCTTTGACTTCTGGGAGAACAACCCTGAACCACAAGTGGAGTGTCCCGACGTTGGTAAGATTCGGCGAAGGGTCAAAGAAGTGGTGGAGCAGCTGCATGGACTAGCGGAGGCTCTCGAAGCTATGCATTCTACTAGTGCTCACTCCCCTGGAAATAGCAGAAAGAATTCTACGTCAAACTCGCCTAGACTCCTATCAGAGAAGATTGCAACCTGGAAAGAGGATGCTTTTGATAACGGTGGACCATATGTGGATAGCTCTTCCTTGCCTACGTTCAATTTCGTCTCCGAGGAAGATAGCGACGGCTATACAACAATACCAAGCATCTTGGTTTCTTCTGACCCTGCAAGTTTAAAAGCAACCGAAAATTCCGACTCGCTGAATTGGCGTCATGGCGACATCAAACCAGAGAATATATTACGTTCTATTACCGGCCAACAAGATGATGAATTGGGGATCCTTAAGCTCGCAGATCTGGGAAGAGCTCAACAGCATCAATTTGTGACAAGCATGAGGCATACCAAGGAGAAGGAGCTTTGGAAAACACGATGGTACGAACCACCAGATCTTGAGAAAAAGAATCATGAGGAGGCTCAAGGTAAAATTTCACGCCTATTCGATATTTGGTCCATGGGATGTGTAATTTTTGAAGCAGTATTGTGATTGCTAAATGGACACGAGTCTCATAATGTCTTCTTATGCGACAATGGATTTTCCACAGGAGAGAAAGGTGCGACACCATATTGGCGGAAAAGAAGAAATGGAAGCTACGAATTGACGGAAGCAGTTACAGGGTGGATGGACCATATATTAGAGCACGACTTAGAACGCGATGGTATTATTGGTGATCTGATACGATCGACGAGATAGATTGCTCAAGATTAAATTGCCTCCAAACTCCGACTTCTACGCCAAAGGTTTCCGTACAAACGCAAAAGACCTAAAACTACAGCTTGGGAATATTCTTGAACGCGCTAGAGGAGATGAAAATTATGTGTTCAGTGGGACGAATCGGACAAGAATGTCTCTACCCACCCTTACCAATTCAGCTACAAACAAATCATTAAAATCTACAAGTGGGTCGTTATTGTCGGTTCAAGATGCAAGGGGAGTAAATCTCCCCATCATTCAGGGACGGAGAACTGAGATAGCCCAACGCCGTGAGTATACTAGCGACATAAAAGACCAGTGGAGGACTATTCCTGAAGATCCTTCATTCGTTGAGTCGATTTTAATGGGCCGGAACTTCGGCTGCGATGATCCCGAGTTATGTATAGACTGCAATGGCATCGAAATCTCGTCACTGCATGCGGAAACTTCTCACAATATGAATATATTGGAGACCAATTCAACAGAAAGTGAGTGCGACCTCTGCGAAGTAATCTATACGGCAGCCAAAGATCACGGCATCAAGAGTCGTGATGGCATCCAGCAGATCTCGATAGTACGATCAGGCGATGACTGCCTTTTGAAAGGAACCAAGCGAAAGTTTCTTCGCCTAATTGGTAAGTCTTGAGGTCTCGCCGTCTAGTAATTTTGTTTAACAAGAGAATCAGAAACAGTGCAGGATATAACAGCTCCCGTAGCTGCACCGGAACTAGCTTCATTGACCAGCAATCGTGACTCTTCTCCTGCGGATCTTGACTCTTTCATGAAACTACCAAGGGCATGGCTTGAGGAATGTAATACCAAACTTGAAGAAATTTGTGCTCCCAAGAATACTCATACCCTCCCAACAAGGCTCATCAGTGTTGCAAATCTGAAGAAACCAAAGATTGTAGCGACGGCGGATCTCTCTCAGGCTATTCTTTCGGAAGGTATTCGATACATTGCACTTTCTCATAGGTGGGGTGATATGCCATATGACGCTACCACAACGCAGAATAATCTCGAACAACGCCAGAAGAAAATTCCGATGGACGAGCTACCACTGAGCTTCAGAAATGCTATTGCGGTTACGAGCGCGCTAGGATGTACCTATCTCTGGATCGATTCTCTGTGCATCATGCAAGGCCCCGATGGTGATTTTGATGAGGAGGCAGATAAGATGCAAACAACATTTAACGGTGCGTACCGCGTTTTGGCTGCTTGCAATGCCGAGAGTGCCAAGGTTTTTTTTTTTTTGAGAATCGAGAGTCACGATCAAAATGTGTCAAGATCGGTGATGTCTTTATCTCACCGATCACAATCGACTTTGAGCGGGATGTCCTTCACAGCCCCCTAGCCCGGCGTGGATGGGTTTTACAGGAACGCGCCCTGGCACGCAGAACTATTTACTTTACAGACAATCAGACCTATTGGGAGTGTGGCGCAGGAATTCGTTGCGAAACATTGGCAAAGCTCAAGAAGTAAGTTACCCTGTTCATCAACAAAGTAGACTTGACTGATACCTTCTCATTAGCGATAAGATGGTTTTTCTCGGTGACCCCAATTCTCCTGAGTACACAATCCGACCATCAAGCACCGTCGGGGATCAAATCAAGCTCATTATTAATTTATTCCAAAGATATACAAGGCTAGAATTTTCCCATCCGAAGGACCGACCTATTGCAATTGATGGACTGATGGAGCGACTCACCATCGCATTCAAGACACGAAGCTTATCAGGGCTTTTCAAAACATTCTGGGGCCGCTGTTTGCTTTGGCGACGGGCTGACAATACAGAACCGCTGAAGAAGATTCCATCTAGCACACATTCTCGGCGAACTCCACCAACTTAGTCATGGATGGCTTTCGATGGCGCAATCTCATTCATCGAGCCTGGCGGTGGTCAAGCCTCTTGGAATGATGCAGGAGTGAAATTACCATTCGCTTATCTCACCGGCTATCAGACTTCATGGCTTTAAACAAGCTTCCAGAGTGATAGTGTAGCTATACAAGCCAAAGTATTTGACTTCTATATACCTGCAAACGCTAGCAGTAATGAGGCATATTTATACTTCGATGGCTCAACGATTAGTACAGCAAAATGTGTGATTGTTGGTACTGACAAATATCATGTCAATGATGCAAGCATGAAGAAAAATTACGTTCTGATCGTCAAGCCGCTCTCAGACATCTTCAGTACAACATCTTACGAACGTTGTGGCGTCGGATACATACTAGGCAAGTATATCCGCTTGGGCGATCCTTCTGTTTATGTTCCAATTGAGTACTTTCACTTTCTACATCTATCACAGGTCGATCGGGACTCCAGGAGATAGGAGGCTATAAATTTCAGATATCGGTTTTTGGATATAGGGTTCCGCAGATCTTACATAACTGTACTGTACATAGCTACCAAATGATGTACAATGTGCCATCAGAACTTTCTCGCTGGTCGCATCTGGGTAGATGATGCAGTATTTGGACATTTGATTCAATGGCAAATAATTATGGACAGCGCAAATTAAGCTTGCATCTAGCTTGACCGACTATTTTATCTAAGTGGATTTAGCCTATGGCAAAATAGGCGAGGTTTATAACAGAACTTTCTCTGGATCTGTTGAGAGAATACACTCCCGCAGGCCGCAACCGTTTCTTAAGTGTATCCCAACTTACACCAGGTCGTTTGATATTTGTCTGTTGTGTGATTTACTACCGGTGGGTCTGTATCTCTAGATGTATATAAACTGAATCTTCATCATCTATAATCGAGATCAAAAGGGATTCAACGTAGCGACCTATCGCATACTTCTATTATCCGGAATGTTCGCTCAGTCACAAAACGCCTTCTACTCAAAAAGCTTATTTGCGTATCTCTCTTGAATCCCATACAGAGAAAGGCAGAGCTGACTAGGTCAATACTAAGAATCTTCTTATGTATCTTACACTTGCTATCATGATTGATTACATATACATATAATAACAACAAAAGCATAGGTATAATAAATCTACCTTCGAAGCGACTACAAGCAAAGTCCCACTAATATGCAACTGTACCTAGTAGGTAACATATCTAGTTCCAATATGACCTAATATATTTCTTAAAACACACTCATCTGTGACTTCACATCTTTTGAGAAACCATAGATTAACTGGTAAGTAATTGGAGTGTGTAGATGAAATACCCAAGAGAAAACTTCCATCATATCATACGTCTACTTCTCGCTTGTCCCCAAAGAAACATGTTATCGAAGTGGAATGTAATCTTATGAACATAATAGAACATATCTACAAGCAGCAAAACACACGAGTGAGTATAAAACCATGCCAAAAAAAAAAGAACACAGGCATCATATACACATCTCCCTCCAAACAACCATCCGGGGGTCTATATCTACATCAATACCATACCATACCTTACCTAGACACTCTCCTGTATTAACATCAACAACCGCAGCAATATAACCTACCCCTCCACACATCCCAAATCCCAGATCCCCAAACTCGCATTCCAAGAATTCATCAATTTTCAAGTAACCTCCTCTAACCATCCTCATACCCATCAATCCCTTCCTCATCTCACCCAGTCTACTCCTCAAATCCTCAAATCCTCAACACACCATCTCTCTTAGAGAAAGACAACCCACGAAGCAATATCGAGATACCTATCTCCCACCTATCTTTCATTTCATTTCACTTCGCTTCACGTCATACTTTATTTCCTCCATTTACCTCTGGATTTACTTTGTATTTCTTCTCAACCTCTTAACATCTTACCTTACTCGAGATTTGAATAATCAATCACTTGATACGCCACCTCACACATCGCCTCAAACATCACAAATATCAACATAAACCGCTCCCTGCTACTCTCTCCCCCCTCCCTCTCCTTCTTCTTCCCAAGTCACCCTCTTGCCGAATTCCCAATACAAACATCCCGCTAAAAAAAACATTAACGAAAGACAAAAGTTAAAACAGCGAAAGTCAAAAGATTTCAGACAAGCAACGGGATCGAAAAAATGAAGATGAAAAAGATTTAAATCACCAATACAAGCAAGTAAATCAAGTAAGCATTTCAATTCATTCCAATTTCGATTCCACCTATGAGTAGCTATAGCAAAAAGTACCGAGTTGATGAATACAATTTACTTTTCCCATCCCATCCAATTCACCCCCCCCCCCCCCCCCATGCATTCTCTAACCCCTCCCCCCTTCCTTTCTTCCCTCCTCATAATCATCCTACATGTATGTCATAAGAATTCCCGAGCCATCTTCGATCCATGAGCCACGCATAAAAGAAACAAAAAGGCGAACAATCAAATAAATAAACAAAACAAGCTAAAACCTTCATCCTAGCCCGCTAGCCGCTCCCTACGCCATAAGCTACCAGAGCAAGCAACTCTTTCCATCCCATTCCCTTCCATTCCATTCCGTACACATCTCCATCCCAATCTAAGCCCAAACAGTAGTGGCGTAAAGCAAAGACTTCAAGAGAGGATTCCCTAGATACAATTGAAAAGTATGAAATGAAAGATAAAAGTCAAATATTAAAGTGGTAATCCATTAGCTCATCGTTCACAATGAGATTTCATAATGAGACTTGCAGAGTGTCTATTAGCCTTCATGTGGCGGATAAAGACCACGAATAACTCTTGCAGGATTTCCACAAACCACTGTATATGGTGGGACATCTCTTGTGACAATCGAGCCCGCTCCCACTGTACTACCCTTCCCGATAGTTCTACCAGGTAAAATCGTTACACCACCACCAATCCAACAATCCTCTTGAATGATGATTTTCCTTCCCAAATTTGGTCCTCGGGATCCAAGTCTTCTCTTCGGATCAATGTGTAGCGTGGCGGTATAGAGATTAACATTCGGTCCAATATTACAACGATCACCAATCTTAACCTCGCAAGTATCAAGAATCGTGCAATTCTTTCCAATCGCAACATCTTGTCCAATGCTAATATTATATCCATAATCGCATGTAAATGGAGCTTCGACAACCACATTATCGCCGACTTTACCTACAGGAGTGACAGGAGTAGCTTGAGTAGGAGAAATGACATGATCGCGTGGTTGGAGAATATCGCGGAATTGACGAGCTCGTTCTTCGGGTGATACACCATTATTAGGATTTGTGCTATTGTTGAAACGCCAGCAAGCTGTATTGCAACGTTCACGCTCGAGAACTAGTTCTTTATCGAATGGGAAGTAATGACGGCCAGCTAACATTTCTTCCTTTTGAGTTCTTTGTCGACTTGCAGGATGAGAAAGTGCTAGTTGAGCGGCAACTTGGGCACTGCTGTGAGGACTATCGGGGTGAATCTGATGATTGAGTAGATTTGGAAGAGCCGAAGTAGGCTCACGAGCAGAATGAGGTGTTCCAGTATCCGGCTCTGTTCTTGACTCTTGCCTAGAAAGATCATGGAGGGGTCCAACGCGCGGATACTCACTCTTGTAACGATCTGGATGGGCACTATTTGCGCTCACAGGAGTGGGCGTTTGTTGGATTCCATAACCTGATGCGGATATTCGATTGTTCTTTGGGCTTGTGATGGAAGCACTAGGTAGGGTAGTTGCGCTTGCTTGATCGTCCGCATCTGTGATAGCTCTGCTGTGAGGATCTACGCGTAAGCTTTGACCGCGATATCCAGGTAATGGTTCCCTCCGAGTTGGAATTCCAGGTTGGTTTCCATAAGGTGATGGCTGCGTGTATGAAGAAGGGCTTTCGTATTCGGTTTTAGATTGTAATGGAACCGGAGTTTGTTTCATTTCGACCTTTGGATAGGAACCTCGTTGTTGATATCCAGAACAGACAAATCCACCACGGAGACAATTGTTACCTATGTCAGATGTTAGTAGCATTCGACGAAATCTTGTTCGAGTAAATTACATTCTGGCCTGGATTCATCGCACTTCTTCTTTCGTCTTCTGCATGTCATACAGCCTGTCTTGGTCCTATTACTAAAATTTCTTTTCCGCTTCTTGAGATCTGATTGTGCAGACAATTCCCGCCTCTCTTGGCTGTATGCAGATTGCGGATCAGTATATCGATTATCATCCCCAGAAAGTGTACGACGATCGTACTCATGTTGCTGCGCATCCAGATTTTGAGATGCTCTTTGTAATACCTCTCCAATATGCTCATCGGAAGCAACTTGGGAATGCTGAGGATAATGACGACTATGCCATAAATCATTCGAAGGCGTATCCCGAGCCGAATCGCTTGCTGACATGAACTGTCTGTATTGTGAATCTGCGCTATACGTCTCCCTAGAATCCAAATGAGGTTGAGATTTTGCTCGAACACTTCCATCATCTCTAATCCCATCAGATTCGGTAGTCGCCGTGGTTGGTGTTGCTTTTGTTGAATTTGGTAGGGCATGGCTATGGTATGAATTTGCGGATGATGAACCTTGATCCATTGAACCAGATCTTTTACGTTTGTGAGAACTCTCGTCGGAATAGTGATTCGAATTCTGGCTAGTATTCATTTGGCGATCAGGTAAATGAGTACGTTCTCCATTTTTGGAAGAAGCCCAGTCTTGATCCTGAGTTGTTGTGATGGTCAGTTTCTCATGACCTGGAGGTGAAATTCTAGGTTGTCCATTTGGTCTCTCATCGGAGCCCCTCCTTGCAACGCCGTTCCCATTTACTCCGGTGCTAGCAATGTTTCCATTTCCATTGGTCGTAGGTGAGGTTTCATTCTGATTTCTACCATTGACTGCTGTAAATCTAGCCGTTGGTGATTCCGCGTGTTTATCTGTACCTTCTGGAGTCGCCATTTCAAGTATGTTTGGAGTGATTTCTATTCCTTCTCCACTGCCTGAGTTGACCACCAAAATTTCCC